CTGCTGGCTTAGGCCCGCTCCCCATGGCAATCGGACATCCCCCAAGGGGTCCTTAGCACTACCGCAGAGGCAGGAGAGGCTCCAGCCACCGCTGCTGCACTTGCCAGCCATGAGCCCAGCTTCTGGCTGAGCGGTGCTCCCTCTGTAGCAGTGCACTGACCACCAAGGGGCAGCTCCTGCATTGAGTGTCTGCCCCCTAGTGGACAGTGTGTGGCATAGTGACCAGTCGTTCTGCTGTTTGGTTGATTTGCATACTAGGGTTTTATTATATAGGAATAATGATGATACCTAGAATGAATTATTGGATTATCAGGGGTCCTCAAACTACGGCCCGCGGGCCACATGCGGCCCGCCGAAAACATTTATCCAGCCCGCCGGGTGTTTTTGCCGCCACTGTGTGCATAGGAATTTGTTCATAGTTTTTTTTTAAACTATAGTCCGGCCCTCCAACGGTCTGAGGGACAGTGAACTGGCCCCCTGTTTAAAAAGTTTGAGGACCCCTGGATTAAATGGTCAAATTACTTAATTCAGAAAAAGAAAAATATATAATTTTCGTACAGCTCCCCTACCAATAGTTATAGCATGATTTCAGTTTTTAATTTTCCCTCTTTAGGTCTCTTAGCTAACAGGAAAATTCTGAGTCTAATTTTAGTCACTTTGAAACTACATGTATGTATAGTAGCTGGAACTAACAGGTGATAAAATGTGACCAATGAGAATGCCTTCCTCATTTGGTCTTCCTGTCTTCATTTGGGGACTAATGTACTCATTCATAAATTTACCTGTCCTTGACTTTCAGGACTGGAGTAATTTTACAGATTATATTTTGGGGAACCCTTTATATAACCACCCCCCAACCTGACCTTTCAGGGCAGGGGCTGTGAGCTGTTCTAGCCCATTGTCAGGCAATTGCATTTTTTGTTTGTCTGTGTCCCTGACTTGACTGTAAGCTTGTGGGAACCAGGAATTGTGTCTCATTTGTAGCTGTGGGTCCGGGCCCTTGTGGCACCTAAATAAATAGGCTTTTTTTTTTTCTTCTGAGTGGTGCACATTTAATGAAAAAAAGCTTTCATTTTAATGTATAAGTTCTGGTAAATTTGTGAAAGTTATCATGTCACATGAGAAACATTCTTTATGCATGTTTCTTCCAACACATATATCTAATGGTCTTTTTCTTGGTTTTTTTTTTTTGGTCTTTTTTTTTCCTTTATTGATTAAGGTATTACATATGTGTCCTTGTCCCCCCCTTACAGCCCCCCCCCCCACTCATGCCCTCACCCCCCTGGTGTCTGTGTCCATTGGTTAGGCTTATATGCATGCATACAAGTCCTTTGATTGATCTCTCCCCCTTACCCCTGTCCTCCCCTACCTTCCCTCTGAGGTTTGACGGTCTGCGATGCTTCTCTGTCTCTGGATCTGTTTTTGTTCATCAGTTTATGTTGTTCATTATATTCCATAAATGTGTGAGATCATGTGATATTTATCTTTCTCTGACTGACTTATTTTGCTTAGCATAATGCTCTCCAGGTCCATCCATGCTGTTGCAAATGGTAGGAGATCCTTCCTTTTTACAGCAGTGTAGTATTCCATTGTGTAGATGTACCACAGTTTTCTAACCCACTCATCTGCTGATGGGTGCTGAGGCTGTTTCCAAATCTTAGCTATGGTGAATTGTGCTGCTATGAACATAGGGATGCATATATCCTTTCTGACTGGTGTTTCTAGTTTCTTGGAATATATTCCTAGAAGTGGGATAACTGGGTCAAATGGGAGTTCCATTTTTAGGTTTTTGAGGAAACTCCATACTGTTCTCCACAGTGGCTGCACCAGTCTGCATTCCCACTAGCAGTGCACGAGGGTTCCTTTTTTCTCTGCATCCTCGCCAGCACTTGTCATTTGTTGATTTGTTGATGATAGCCATTCTGACATTGTGAGATGATACCTCATTGTCATTTTGACTTGCATCTCTCGGATGATTAGTGACTTTGAGCATGTTTTCATATGTCTTCTTTCAAAAAGTATCTATTTAGGTCTGTTGCTCATTTTTTTGATTGGGTTGTTTATCTTTTGTTAAGGTGTATGAGTTTCCTGTAAATGTTGGAGATAAATGGTGTTGGGAAAATTGGACAGATACATGCAAAAAAAAAAAAAAAGAAACTAGACCACCAACTTACACCATACACAAAAATAAACTCAAAATGGATAAAGGACTTAAACATAAGATGGGAAACCATAAAAACACTAGAGGAATCCATAGGCAGCAAAATCTCAGACATATGCTGAAGCAATATCTTCACCGATACAGCTCCTAGAGCAATGGAAGGTAAAGAGGAAATAAACAAATGGGACTACATCAAAATAAAAAGCTTCTGCACAGCAAAAGAAACCATCAACAAAACAACAAGAAAGCCCACTGCATGGGAGGACATATTTGCCAATGCTATCTCTGTTAAGGGTTTAAATAGGCTTTTTATAAATATTTGTAGGATGCTATAACCAGTTAGTATCCATAACTCCTAAAGCAAATCTTCAAATTTTTATATCCACGTTTTAAAAAGAGGGAGGGCCCACGTTCAGTATAGTATGGTGGTTAAAACTGTGGTCTTTGCAAAGCAGTCTGGGGTTTTTAGCATCACTCTGCTAGGAAGCTGTGTGAGGAATAAAAAAATCTACTTCAGGGGACTCTTTCCCCCTCCCCATGTGGGAGTCTGTGCTTGTTTCTCAATAAATTTCCACCTTTTGATATAAAAAAAATCTACTTCATGGGCATGCTATGAAGATTCATTTACCCAAACAGATCCTGTGCTTGTTGAGTACAGAGTTGAGAGCTTACTTTTATTTTGCAGAGACAACGATAAAAAAGTAAACCCAGAAAATTAGGAGAATTTCAGATTGTGACAAAAGTTAGGAGGGAAATAAACGCAGTGAAGTGGGAAGAGTAATTCTGGTTGGGGGGTGGTGCAGGAGTGTGTATGTTGGGGGGAGGTGACAGGGAGCCATCAGAGTGAATGCAAAGACCCCGAAGGGGTTGCCTGCAGGGCACGTTCTTGGGGAGGCCCGTATAGCTGGAGTGGAGGGAGATGGGGAGGATATTTATTTTACTTTTAGATATAGATTTAGAGTTAACTTAGCAATTTAGTGGTGAAGACAGTTATACATATTAACAAGTATAAGATGAGAGAAGCAGGGGCCGGGTCCTGTAGGGCTGGGGTGGCGAGCATACCTACCTTCAGCGCCAGGCCAGCCCCTTGACCTTGTGAAGACAGTGTAACTTCCCTTTGGTTTTCGATTTTAATAGAGACTCCAGTGCAGAGAAATATTTCCCTAAGAAAAGCAGCAGTGCAAACACCGTGAGAAATGGCAGTTGTGATAATACAAACCTGACAGTGGTGATGGCCAGGACTCTTGACCTCAGTGGGAGAGACGCCGCCGTGGGGCCTGGAGGGGGCAGCTGGAGCCTTCTGGGCCTGACCAGAGAGGGCATCTGGCCCCCCTTGCAGGCCAAGAGTGGCCATGTGGGGATGTGGGCTACAGGTGCTAAATCTGCCAAGGTTTACAGAGAACCAGAAATCTGAATTTGTATGGGAAATTCCCTGATTTAAAAATATTGGCTCACGTTTAAGAACAGAAAACGTTGGGGTGGATAGACAAAATGCCAGACTGAAGCAGCTGCTGAAAGCCGTTTTATGCTATGATAAAGGGGATTACATGAAGTAGGATGCACGTTAACATGTTAACCATTTAGCCTTCTGCCCTGTCATAACGAAGACGGAGAGCGAAGAGGCACTTTTTTAAAAAAATATATTTTATTGATTTTTTACAGAGAAGAAGGGAGAGAGAGAGAGTTAGAAATATCGATGAGAGAGAAACATCGATCAGCCGCCTCCTGCACATCCCCACTGGGGATGTGCCCGCAACCCAGGTACATGCCCTTGACCGGAATCGAACCTGGGACCCTTCAGTCCGCAGGCCAACGCTCTATCCACTGAGCCAAACCGGTTTCGGCCGAAGAGGCACTTTTAAATAATTGGACCGTTAATGTGTTTCATTATGTCTTCACCATTAGTTTGTTTAGTTAACTCTAAATCCGTATTAAAAAGTAAGCACCCTATTCTAATTTAAATGGTTAATGTAATCGGCCGTTTTTGCGGATTTGCTTAGTTGTTTGCTCTGCAGTTAGGTGCAGTCTGTATTCATGGTACAGAAGTAAACATTTGTCGAAGTCATGTGATAAAAGCAGAGAAGATCAAAAGATACACATATTTGGTGACTCACCCTTTTCTTACTGCCTCTGTCCTCTGTGCGGCAGTCTCACTCCCCTCGCTTGTGCGGTCTCTGGGCCTTCTGGCCAGTGTTGGCTGTAAGTAAGTGAGAAAGAACTGTGGCAACTATGCCATTTTAGACCAGGCAAAGGATGATGGGAATGTAGCCTTACCCTGTGATATCATGTTTAGAGGCTTTTCATCAGTTTTAATGAAATACCAATGTGCTCAGAGCAAGTTATTTATTTCCTCTCCCTCCCCCTACTCCCCCACCCCCCAAAAAAATCTTCATTTAGAACGACCTAACCCACATAGTTTTGTATTACGAGGATTATGTTTGATGTGTTGCAATCCATTGGCAATTGTTTTGGGGAATTTTATTCAGCACAAGCATTTCTGACCGTTCTGGCAACAAGTTGGGTTAATTGCTTGTTCATGTAGTTTTTGGTCTTGTTGTCTTTATGTTAACATCCTGGGGCATCGTGGAGAGAAACACTGGGAGTAACAAAATATACTTGAATATTTCTGATAGATAAAAAGCTTATAAAATGCATCTCTTCCCCCCCCCCCCCAGTTTTTTTTTTTTTTTTTTTTTTTTTGGCATTGCTTTAAAATGAGATCATTTTGTTGTATCTACATGAGCCTAAAGACTTGAAAATGATCTTTCTTTATTAGAAAATCTTATCTGTAAACACTGGTTCTTAATTAAATCAGTATTTCTCTTAATTTTTGTTGCAGATCATGGAGGAAACAAATACACAGATTGCTTGGCCATCAAAGCTGAAGATTGGAGCCAAATCCAAGAAAGGTAAATTGTGAGATACGGGGAAATTGGTAGTTTGATAGCAACTTGGAATCACTACAAGTTGGCCAGGAAGAAAATCACCCTTTATCTTTATCATGTTTATCCCCCAATACTTGTCAAGTAGCAGTAGTTTGGAAGGTTTATCATAAGTAAAAAATAAGGTGCAGCCTTTTATCCAACAACAGAAAAAATATTTTTAAGCATTTTCTTATAATAGAAGGTACTAATAGCAACCTACGTTTCAAGGGTGTCTGCTCATTTGATGGCTATGAATCATAGTAACTCTCCATGAGTAATAACGTATTTTCAGTATATAAACTCTCAATATGTATGTACATGGTAGTCTTCTTGTTTAACTAGAGGTCTTGTTTATGAACCACACAGATTTAATATTGAATGTTTTTCCCTTCTAATGTGATACGAACCTTCGATTTTCCTTCTCCACTGATTCTTCTCCTCTTCTCCTATTAGAGAGTGAAAATCTCCCTAGATTTCTCTTCTAGGCTGAGCATTTCCCTTGCCTGGCCTCTGCTTCATGGATGGTCAGAAATGAAAGGAAGTCTGGGCACCCTTCGTTTTCTTTCAAGATCACATAGTATTTTCAAGTGACCTGCCAGCATATATTTTTATGGTTAGTTTTTCTTTTTAAAGTATAGCCTTAGTCTCAGTAAACTTTGTTGTGCGTACTTTATTAAGAGACGTAAGTAGTCATTAGGAGATAATGGAAAACACCATCAAAGGATAATGCGAGCTGAGCATTATCCTCGTGGTCTAGGTTTTGTTGTTGTTCAGTTCTGTATTTGTTGCCCTTTCTCCCTATGACTCTTGTTGCTAACTGGTGCTAGACGCTGCAGCACTTCCCAGTCTCCTTTCTTATTTTAGTCCAGTTGCCTTCTTTTAAACGAATTTTATTAGAGTTACTCATCACAAGGAATGCCAACTATGTTACAGTTGTTGTTATGAGTGTTGTTAGCTGGACTTCAGTGGACTGGAATTCTACAGAAACTCTGATCTTGTTACGTTCTTATTGGTGGTCATGGTGGCAAGAAATGGGAGGTTGATGTGTTAAATAGTCATAAGAAGACAGGGCGAATATCCCAGCATAATTCCATAACTTTGCATAAACCTTGAATTTGCCAAGTACTACAGGATATATTCTTAGTTCATCTTCAGTGTGTTGAGACGTTTTATTTCCATTATGCAGAAGAAGAAACTGTCATTATTATCTACTTATTTGGTTGTTTGCAGCCACTTAAAAATCCCTGGCCTTCTGCATCACTTGAGCAACTTGGGATTTGAACATCAACTGGATTCTGGCTTTCTATTAGGTATTTTTACTTAACGAATGAAATGAGCTTTATTACTATCCTAATAAAACTGTAATCTGCTCAGTGCCTAAAGAAAACCCCCGAGGAAACATGAATGTTAAAACAATTCCGGACAATTTTGAAAGGTTTATTCTCTTGCTCCCCCCCCCCCCCACTATCATTGGAAACTGAGACTTGATTAAATTTTTCATTCAAAATGTGGTGACAGGTTTGGAGATTTTAGATAAGATGGAGATGAATAGGTTAGGTTAATGTTTTAGATTAGTTTCTAGTATTGACACACCCCATTTAGAATGGCCAACTATCTTCCACATTTTGATTATATGTTTTGCTTCGGAAATAAGACTATTTTAGCAGTACATTTGAGGGCATTTAGCGTCATTTTCCACATGATTAATGTTAACTTTTGGAATTGTTTCTAAGAATTGATCTCCTCAGGCCTATGTCTAAAGACCACATTATATTTTTTTATTATTTATGAAGTGCTATGAATGCACAAAATACTGTGTGATGAGCAGAATGTGCCAAAAGAAAGAGATTGAGCTCAAGGAAGAGAGAAAATGTCAAGAGTTTTCCTCAGAGGGACTGACCATTCAGAATTTACTTGAGTTGCTCTTATTATTTAAACACACAGCTGCTGAGTCAGTTCTTGGCTGACATCCCTGTTATATATATTCCCTATATTATTTTTAAAATGTTTCAACTCAGAGATATAATTTGCATTGAATAAGAGGGAAATGAACATGGCAGGAGGCACTTAGAAGGTAATTATTTGCTCTTCCATCTGATGTGACTGTCTGCCTCTGAATGTTGTAGAGGATGGAGTTGTTGGTCTTTATTTTTCAAGCCCTTTCTTTCCAAACTCTTACTATTCAAGAGACCAAAGAATATAAATGTATCTGTGGACTCGTTCCATGTTTTGGATGATTATTAAATTTTACATCCCAGGATGATGTGAAGACTTGGAGTATACAGATAATCCCCAGACTGCTGGAGAGACCACACCGCCATGGGTTTGTGCTGTGTTTTACTTTCTAGATTTATGATGCTTATTGGTGGAATATTTGAGCCTAGACAAACATTTTTCATGGCTACTGTTACCACAATCTGCCCCCTGTTTTACCTTATTGGAATTTGGGCCTATGCTTTTGAAGTGACTTTCCAGTAGACTTGTCCAAACTTTGTTTTTTAAGCCATCAATCCTTTATCAGAGTGGTGTTTGAGCAGCTGTATGGCTCCTTTGGTTGAAGTGCTGATAGGATGCTGCCTGGCAGAAAGGCAGAAAGCCAACGGCCTGAATTTGCCATCAGAAAATTGAGGTTCTTCAGGTTCTGTAGATCTGCGGTGGAACTGGGAAGCCCTGTAATTAACAAGTTCCTCTGATGGTTCTTACAGTTAAGCTGAGTTTGGGAAACAAAAATCTCACCATTTGACATTGAAGTGCGATATAGTCATTAAGGAAGGAGACCATGTGTTCAAAGGCAATGGCAGATGACTGCTGTTGAAAAATAGGCGAAGTCCTTCAGAGCCACTTGGGGATGACTTCCACCTTGGTTTTCAAAGAACTGCACTTTTACGGGTTCATTTTAAGTTTGTCACCTTTGTAGTCAGTTAACGTGGATAAGTTCAGAGTGATCACAACCTCATTGTTCTGTGCCTGTGCGGGATAGAATTTTGGGTAAAAGACTATCCAGTGTTTGCTTCCTCTCTCTACCCTCCATTCTCCTTCACCATCCTTCTCACCCCTTTCTTTCCTCCCGCCCCATTCCCCTTGAACCATATAGAATATGGTGAAAACTGGAATAGAAACATTTTCATTTAGTAAGCAGGACATTTTGGGGTAAAGCTTGTTAAATACACACACACACACACACACACACACACACACTCAGAGGCTATAGAAATTTTTTTTTTTTTAATTCTTGAGTATTTGAAATTATGGGAAGGTTGAATCTTCATTAGAGCCACAAAGAACTAAGAAATTAAGACTCAATATAATGGACATTTAAATAGGCAACTCCAGGATTGTTTAATGGAGGTCATAATTAAGAAAAATAAAGCAATGCATGGTATTTCTTCTGTAAAACCCACGTTTATTTTGAGTAAAAGTAAGTAAAACTGTTTCTAACTCTTGGAGTCAGAATACTAGAACATTCTGCTTTACGTGGAAAAAACTGAGCTTTGTGCTCGTCAGACCAGTATTTATAAGGTGTTTAATAGTGTAAACCTTACATAGGATAACTTCAGGCACTCATTAAAATTTTGAATATGCTATTGTGAATCACAGCCTATTTTAAAATAAACTCAGGTTCATTAAAGTGCAAATAGCATTTTGAACAAGTTTGACTATATTGCCAAATGAAAGTCCTTCCAGACCTGCTTTAACAAATAGATAAAAGTGATTTGTCATGAGAATTTATTAAGCTGGTATGATTGTGATCCATAATGCTAGACGAGTTTGTTCTCTTAAATAAGGTTAACATTTTTCTTGCAGTCGTCTTTTGGCTCTTAATTTGCTCATCAATTTTTTTCTTTTTAGGCTGGCAAAGGTAATTGTGGGTAAAAATTGTTTAAAGTTTTTACGCCAAATTCCAAATAAACGAGGTCAGCATTCATGAAGCTTTACTGTTTTGTTCTGTGAGGGAGTTGTCCTGCAGAGTTGAACTAAGTGGTAGAACTGCCCCCTGCCAGCGTTTCCTGTTTGACATTAGGGTGCCACAGGCTAGCAGGAATGAAAGGTGTTGACTGGATTGCTGGATGCATCCTGGTTTGGAGGCTGTTTGGCACCAAGTTTGGCCATTCTCTTCCTCCTAGAATAAACAAGAGAATCATCAAAATTCCACGAGGTTTTACTAATTTTGGTTGCATTCCATCAGAAGAAGAATCATCTAATAGAAAACCTTAGCATGAGAAAAACGGTAGACTGTTCATTTAATTGTTTTCAGGGGAGAATGTTTTACTGCCCTCATACTTTGGTTGGGTGTTCATGTTGGAATAGTTGAGGTCTGTAACGCAGTACTGCTCAGACAGCAGAAGGCAGAGAAGAGGCATGGCACGGTTCACCGTGTTTCCAGTGGGGGATTGTGACCCATTAGTGTATCAAAAATTAACTTAGGTGGTCACACCAGCATGTAAAAAACACAGCTGGCCCTGACCGGTGTGGTTCGGTTGGTTGGGCATTGTCCATGCACCAAAGGGTTGCTGGTTTGATTCCTGGTCAGGGCACATGCCTGGGTTGTGGCCTCGATCCCTGGTGGTTGGGGCACTTGGGAGACAACCGATCGATGTTCCACTCTCTCATTGATGTTTCTCTCTCTCCCTCTCCTTTTTTCTCTCTCTCAAAATGTTAAGAGAAAAAATCACCATAGACCCCTCTGTAACATTCTAACAAAAACATAAATATATTTAAAAAATACAACTGGATTAGGAAAGAGTGTAAGAATATTGTGAAACTTGCAGTCATGTATGTCACTGTTATGTGTATGTATACAAACATATATAGCAGTGGCTCTCAACCTTCCTAATGCCGCTACCCTTTAATACAGTTCCTCATGTTGTGGTGACCCCCAACCATAAAATCATTTTCGTTGCTACTTCATAACTGTAATTTTGCTACTGTTATGAATCGTCATGTAAATATCTGATATGCAGGATGTATTTTCATTGTTACAAACT